GACGGACTGCATCACGTTTCCATCCAATATCTCCGCCTGGTACTGAAGAGAATTCATGGTACCTTGCACACGCTGAAGCTTCCCTGTACCTGCAGAAGCAAAACAGCCCCAAAGCATGATTGACCCTCCACCATGCTTCACAGTAGGCAAGGTGTTCTTTTCATCATAGGCCTTGTTCTTCCTCCTCCAAACATAGCGTTGATCCATGGGCCCAAACAGTTCTAATTTTGTTTCATCAGTCCACAGAACACTATCCCACAACTTTTGTGGTTTGTCCACATGGCTTTTGGCATACTGCAGTCGACTCTTCTTATTCTTTGGAGACAGCAAGGGGGTACGCCTGGGAGTTCTGGCACGGAGGCCTTCATTACGCAGTGTGCGTCTTATTGTCTGGGCTGAAACTTCTGTACCCACATCTGACAAATCTTTTCTCAGTTCCTCAGCAGTCACACGGGGACTTCTCTCCACTCTACGCTTCAGGTAGCGCACAGCAGTCGAAGTCAGCATCTTCTTTCTGCCACGACCAGGTAGCGTTTCAACAGTGCCCTTTGCCTTGAATTTGCGAATGATGCTTCCTAAGGTGTCTCTTGGTATGTTTAACATCTTTGCAATCTTCTTATAGCCATTGCCCTTCCTGTGAAGAGAAATCACCTCTTCTCTTGTCTTCCTGGACCATTCTCTTGCCTTCACCATGTTTGTAACCACACCAGTAAATGTCTAGAAGGAGCTGAGTATCACAGTCATTTTAAAGCTGCCTAATTGGTGCTTATTATGCTTGATTGCTGCTCGGTGACATCCACAGGTGTTTTCAATACCTGATGGAAAGCACCTGTATGAACCTCTGTTCTTCAGAGTGGTAGTCTTTAAGGGGTTGAATAATTGTGGCAATGAAGAAACCACATAAGAACCATTTACTACTGTATTACATAAACAATTGATGTCATTTTAGTTGCATTTGGGTAGTTACAACGTCCTTGTAGGATTTGATTCTGAATACAATTCCAAATGTACACTATAGTCCCTAAACCCCTTTACAGCATTGGGGGTTGAATAATTTTGGACACAACTGTATATACTGTATGGCTGCTGTGTGTGTTGGTTGTACATATACCTGGTGTATATGTTGGGGTTGTGGTACATGTGGGTCTGTGTAGATCTATGCTGATCAATGGACATGGTGTGAATGGGCCCCCACTCTGAGTGCAACCAGGCCTGCAGTGGTTTTCAGCTACAGTTCTCAAATACCCCCCCCCCCCCCCAACAGGTTTCAGGGTTTCTGGTCCTGATGACCACTGTTCCTGGGACAGAAATCCAGTGTCATAACCGTGTCTTGAGAGCAAGAAATCAAAGTACATCTTTCACTGGGGAGACCTCTGGTTCTGGTGATAACTAAGATAAGAATTCTGCTGACTTTGGGGAAAGATTTCCTCTGGATTCCTTTTGCATTTCCCAAGATGGGAATCGAAGGGAAATCTACCCAACCTGTCAGACAGCTAAAAATAACCTGATGGGGATTTCATTCCTTCCTTACGGATAAGTTCACCTTTGGGAACATCTTGCATGTTCCACCCATGTAACATGTTCCCAATGCTTTTTAAAAACCACGTGGGCATGCGGGGCTCTGCCCACACGGCTGTGTCATGTATTCAGTGTTCTGTGAATGAACTACAAGTCCCGGCAGCCTTAGCAGCTGTTGGCTTGTCATTCTCAATGAACTACCAAGGCACATACATCTCATATGGGCAAGCAGATATACTGACAGATCTGCATGGCACCAGCGACCTGCAAAAAAGTGCATTCATTATTTTTGGTCAAAAGGTGAACTTATCCTTTACTATATCCATGCACGTTAAAGGCTAACTCCTCCTTTTACACCAAGTTACATCCATATTTAGGCCTTGTTCACACCGGGTGTATGTATCCATGCCCTGTGTGACAGCTGTGCGTCAGGGTGCATTTGGTACCATGCACCTACACAAATGCAATGTCCCAATTGACTTGAATAGGACTACCCACATGAGGATGCACAGAACACCTGGGCATCCCTGTGTGGGTAAACACGGTTCTCACACTGATGCACGTTCCCCATGTGAACAAGGCCTTCGAGAGTAACATGGTACAAACAGGACCCCCTTGCCCTCAAACCACCTTTATCCTCTG